TGCTAACTTCCTCAAAAATCTTCCGTCAAGCGGGGAGGTGGGGACAAGGTGGGGAAAAGGGTCGTCAGCAACCAGCTACTATTTTCGACTATTGGGAAGTAGCAGTTATACAGAACTTTGAGGCGCCACCAACTTAGGGCGGGGGGTTTATCGGCAAATGGAAAGGGGGAAAACCACGAAAGGTCAAAAAATGTTTTCCCAATTAACGTGGCAACGTCCCTTCCCACTGCTCAAATATGACCCCCTCCCCAACGCGGCCAATTAACGACCCGCCATGTGTTTCATGCAAGATGCCTGCCTGTACCTAGGCCCTTTCCTAAACTTCGCCAGTATTTAACAATTCCATCATTTTTTTCGGAAGTCCTTCTTTGAAACCTCTTCACACTTATTTCCCTAGAACTATGAGTGAGAGGTGAGCAGCTATATAGCGCAGTTGAGAAAAAGAGCAACCGAAAACGTTTTCCGCGAAGGCAAAAACAGCTTTCCTCACCCCAATGACCAAATAAGACCCACCCCCTCACTGGGAATCCGAAACCTATGACCTGCCCTGAATACGCTAATCCGAAGAACACCTTTCCCAGCATGAAAAGGGAACCCTAACAACAGCTCTTTGAAGGCATAAAGTTTAGCAGTATCCAGAATCCAAACTCTTAACCCACCATCAACGCATCGACAGCTAAAAGCCAAGCAAGAAATGAAAAGCTGAGAGCTCTTTGGAACAGTAAAAGTATTAATTTGAAAGAGATAGAATTCCTCGAGAGAAGCGATAAGGGAGAACTTTTAAGAAAAAAGTTCGCAAAGTGTTTATTTGGCTTCAATCGCCCCCTAACAAAATCACTCAACATTCCCTTTATCTTTCCAGAAAATATAAAGATCTCAACACAACAGAGAAGACAAAAAATTAATTTAGCACGATTTCAGCTTACTGACTTTTTCAGTGCAATGCTTTAGACATCATGCCATGTTTGTGGAAATGAGAAAGGGTCGTATTAGAGTCAATACAGGGAGAGAGGGCGCAGTTTGTCGACGGGGGGGGGGGGCATTTTGCTTTCCATAGATGTGTCGACCCATCTAGGCAGCCGTTTCTCGAGTTGACACGTTTTAGGATAGTGGCTGGACGATCTTACTTACAGCTTCACAAGAGTTCACAAGTTTTACCAGAGTGAGATTTGTAAACCGGAACTAGGGAAGCAATGATAATACAAAATGCCCCCCCCCGTCGACAAACAGCGCCGGGAGAGAGGTCCTATTTGGCCTTCCCGAGATCGTTTGATGTCGCGCATAATGCAATGCCATTATGTGAAAACACTATTAAAGTGCCGCTCTTGCGGTCTGGAAAGAAAGGGTTGTTAGCTTCGAAAAAATTTTACCTACCACTTCAGAATGCCCCACCCCACCGAAATTCTCAGGAACATTACGAGAAAACTGTTGAAAAACAAGTACAGAAGACTCCCCTTACCGGAACCGCATCGTTCGCAAAACGATAATGACCCGAGCATAGCAAAGTTCAAAGAGTAGCTTAGGGCTGCACTGGTGCCCAAAATGTGCGCCTACCATGCTGCATCTTTTCCTGCAGGGGCCTTCGAACTAAATTCTATTCCGCTGAAAAAGAAGTCTGTGTCAGCCTATCCTCTATATCAACGTGACGGCAAAAATAATGAGGAAAAATTTATTAAGATGGCATGTAGGTTGTGAGCGGGGACAGGCGAAAGTGCCAAATTGGGAGCTGCGTGGTGAAATGACATTGACCGCGCATTATACGCTACCGTGACCCCCGATGCTACAGCCTCTATCCGATAAGTCCGCAGAAACCATCGCATATTTGTCATACATTTTTTTCAATAACACGCGTTGCGAAAATGGACCAAGTGAATTCCTTAAATTTCTATTCCAAAAGGCTCAAAATTCAAAAGGCTCTCCAAAATATTTCCAAGCGAACTCTTCAGAAGAAAAATATTTTGATTAGGCTTACGGATCCTCAGAGCATTTTAGAGTAAAACGATTTGGAGCTCTTTGTGTTTATATACACGGCCAGATGACCACGATGCTTCAAAGACATCAGAATACTCCATTATAAGTTTACTTAGCACAAATCCTCTTGAGGAGGTTCGAAGGACTTTACAAAACTAGGATCACCGTCATTTCGGATTGTCCATCCACGCGTCCCCCCCCCCAGCCAGCCCTCCCCCTAGATTTCTCGCCCTTAGCTTAGGCAAAACTCCTCACATCCATAACAGTAATTCTAGTTTTGCACTTCCACCTACAGGCTGTCCTGTTTTTCACAACCCACAATCTTGCACCTCCAACCGGTTTTTGCTGTCAATGTCACGCGTGCCCCTTACAAATACGACCAATAACAGCTGCGTAATGAGGACCACAATCCGGCAGAATGCAGTTTTTGCGCGTAACGAAATTCGCCTTCACATCAGATGGTAATCGTAGCAAATCGAGTCACCATTGAAAGTATTCTATGTGAAAGGATCGTAAAACTACTCTTCTGATCCTGACTGCAGAGACTTATAAGTTGCTAGTTGAAGAAGCGCGTCTCCTGTTTGCAGTTTTCTAAGAAAACCTTATAGTTCTAATAACTTCTTTCTTATGCCAAACAGGTTTGTATGGTGGAATGCTTTATTTACGCCTGACGTTTCGACAATCTCGTCGTTTTCAAAGGCCTGGAAGCATACCGAAACTTTGGAAACTATCTATCCTATTCAACATGGGCCCGCTCTTAACTAGTTGCAAATCAGACCAAGGAACTAAAGGAACGAAGGAAACTCCAGCAATAAGTTACCTCGTCACTCCACCAGCGCCGAACTGCTCTTCCGTCACACAATGGAGCAAATGAGACTCACTGCTATGCACTTCATAGTGTGATAAAGTGCGTACGTGCAGTGCATTACGATCTCACTGTTAAAGCCCGCAAAGTGGGATGTAGGGCAAGAAATCGGCAGTCACTGAGATGCATTCATTCCTGTTGTTCATAGATGGATTACGGTGCTTTATCCAGAAAGCCTCGAGAGTTTTCCTAGCACCAATATCATTTTCGCGAGCCAGTATCGTACACTTGATATCAAAATCACAGCCGCCATGATTTTCCCTCCTATGCTTGCCGAGCGGTGCAACTAAACTTTCGCGTCTTTTGCTAGCCAGGTGTTCTTTTACGCGTATACATAATTGCCTCCCAGTTTCACCGATATATAATGCACCACAGGTCAAACACTCTATCTGGTAAATTACTGCCCATTGTGTACAGTCACCCACTTTTCCATATGGACAGACCACGTAGCAGTTTTCCAGGGGCAGCGCGGTCATAGAGGCCGATTTCTGTACCCACTGGTGTTTGATATTGTCTTTTGGTTTATTTACTAAAAGAACGTCGTTGGCCAGATCAGCCCTACGGATGCACTGCTGTATAACTGCGGTAAAGTGGTCCGATATGAAAGGTAGCTGAAAACGTATTTTATTTTCAAGCTCTGTGTGGGAAAACTCTCGGTGTGCTTCGCGTGCGCCGCTGCTGCCAGGCTGTGTAACCGTTAAGATTAGCTATTCGGGTTGCTAATCTCCTGGATTCTTCTCGCTCCTCGTTGCCGGTGCAAACCCCTACGGCAGTTTTGAACATGTTTCGTAGCACTGCACGTTTGACAGCTCTGGGGTGTGCCGACGTTGCATGGACGATAATGTTCTTGGAGCTCTCTTTTCTATACCACTTCACATTGTACTGTCCATTTGATACCTTTATCTGAATGTTCAGATATGGTAACCAACCTTCGCGCGGTACTTCCCGAGTCAGCCTGATGTACTGCGATTGACTGTTGAGGATATCGAACAACTCATCCATTTCTGACTGAGTTCTTGTGATGACGCAACAGTCATCAATGTATCGGCAGTACAGAATGGGTAAGCGAGCCAGCACTGGACGTTCAATTCTGCTCATAAAGCAGACAGCGAGGACAGGTGCCAGCCGCTGCCCCATTGCAAGTCCTCTAGTCTGTGAGAAGTACCTCCCGGACCACTTGAATATATTGCAGTTCAGACACTCCCTGATAAGAACCATTATCTGTGTTTTGCTCAACCCAAACGTCATCATGCCTCCTGCGTGCTCATCAAGCATTTCTGAAACTGCTTGCAAAGCTTCGTTGTTGCTGACGTTTGTGTAGAGCGCGGACACGTCAAACGATTCTACAACACAGTCTTGCTGAAGTCTGCAAGAATGCAAGCGATCTAGGAACTGGCGCGTATTTGACAAATGTGATGGTATATACACGAGAAGTTTGACCGACAATCTTGCTGAGTAACCATGAAATGCGATCGGTCGGTCCATTTACACAGCTTATAATCGGTCTTATTTTGAAGACCTCTGGCAGGCGGAGTGCACCAGTTTCGCGGACAAACTTGTGAGTTTTCACAAGACTGTAAAACACTGGGCATGTGGGGTTTTCTAGCTTGAGCCTTCTGATAATTTTATCATCTAGCCTTGCTGATTTGCCCACTTTCACCCAGAGCGTGTTTAACCTGTACGTTTGTGCATGAAGGTCAGTTTCTGCTCGATGGACGGTAAAACGAGTATGTCGGATAGGTGAAGGCTCTGTGATCTCTGCTCATCCATGGATTGGGGCAATACCACAAATTCTCCACCCTTGTCGCTGACAGAAAGGCGTATTTCATTGCGCGATATTCTATCCCGGATCTCCTTGAACCCTTCCATTGCCTCTCCATTTTCTTGGACGTGGACCGATTTGGTTGGAATCCGTTTATTCTATCGCATGGGTGGTTTATATACGGTGCCAAGAGGCAAAGACATTTAATATGTATGTTAGAAAGAAAGCAAAGGCTTAATCAGTGAGCTATGGAGACATAATTAAAATGAATCATTTCAAATATCTGAAAAGAAAACATTTTAACAATCTTATGGAAGGCGAATGAGTCATCAAATTTCTTGCTAATTTCTTTCTATAGAATTTTGCAGAATGCAGAAAACTCCCGCAGGAGGAAGATTGCTTTTACATACTCTTTTTGATTTCTGATCGATTTCGTAAGGAGTTAAAGATTGTAACAATCAAGAAAAGTGCGAGTAGAGTGAAAATGAAATTCAATCCAATCAAAGAGGAAAGGAAATTGGTAGCCATTGAAAAGGATGTCTTCAACAATGAAATCACATTACTAATTGAAATGCTACCAAAATTTGAATCACTTTCGTAGTTGTTCGTTTCTTCGACGTGAAGACCATCGTTGATATATTCGAGATTTCCACTGATGACGAAATTCGTCAGACCTCCGGGGCATCGTAACGTGCAGTTTTCTTTCACTGTAGGCGTTTCGAAGTTGAATGTTATTGTGTTCACATGGCCTGTTCTCGTACATACGGCCACTTGTTGCTGAGAACCGCAACTGATTTCTGCTGTTATTTCGTTAGCGCTTGAGTGGCAGGCCAATTCCAATCTTGCTCCGTTGAGACAGTGGTAGCATCCGATGACGTCTGAGGCGACCGCCGTGCATGTAGCGTTTTCCATTAAGGATGTCAGTTTCAGTCCTTCCGCGACAAGGTGTAATTGTAGTGCTGTTCCAACGTTCATTTTTGCTTCCACTGACTTTCCATTTTGGTATATCATGACGTTTTTCATGACGACTGGTAGCGGTGTTTTCTTGAGAGTTTTTCTGACGTTGCCACTGCTACATGTGCAGGTTGCTCTATTTACTGCTGCGGAACACGTGCAGACGTTACTGGGGAATTGGCAGTTGAATTTTTCGGCTTCCCTTTTGTCACTACATTGCAGCTGTCCTATTGTGTGGGCGATGAGGTGTCCTGACGATACCTCCTTGGTGAGCGCGGTAGTGATGCCATCTGTGACGAACGCCGAAGAAAGTACTGGAAGTTGCGGGACTGTTGTGCCAATCAGCGTCATTCTAATGTTGTTCCAAGCAAATGTTTTTCCTGGGCGAAGAGTGAAGTTTGTTCCCTGATT